GAGCTCCCGTCTCTGTGTCTGTGCTAAGTTGAAAGTGGGGCCTTCATCTGCTTCCCGCTCCTCACCTACAGACTCAGGTCTTTTCTGGGAAGTTAGCTAAGATCCTGGAAGTGCAGCAGAAGCAGCTCCTCCTCCCCAGAAGGTGGTGAGCTCCCTGTCCCTGGAGGTGTGCAAGCAAGGGCTGTGGCCACATCGTGGGGATGTGTAGAGGAAGACAGGTGAGGGATGGACCTTCCCCTTTGGAAATGCTTGCACATGTGACTCTAAGTGGAGAAAATGGGTGAGGGGCAAGTGCCCCGTTGCAGATACTTCAAGGTCCTGTGTCACCCTCCCTGCTTCAGCCTCTCCCTGGGTCTGCTCTGTACAGGGCTGGTTGGAAGGGCAGTGGGCCACTCTTTGGGAATAGGTACATGCTAGTGGGGTTGAGATCTCCAGGCAGAGCTCCCAGCCTTGGCCTCCTCATGGCTGACAGAGCTCTGCAGAACATGCCACATACCTCAGCTACTTCTCCATTAGCTTGCAATTTTTCTTGATTATTCTAAAATTTTTTCATTCCCTCCTTACATACAAGATCACAGCTCTTATTGGATATTTAAATGACTTGCAGTGACATTGGCAAGTCTCCAGATTTGCTCTACAGCAGGAATTCAGGGGAGCTGTGCACTTTGATAGGAAAATAACTGTGCTTTTATCTCCACATTATAATTTAAGATTTTCTTTAATTAGGAAGGTGTGTAACAAATGCACAAGTATTAGCAGTAACTGTGCACAAATTAAAGAGATTTTCCTATCACTTACAGCCGTTGCAGATACTTCAAAATATCATTCATGCTCGTTGTTACTTTGAAGTCACAGAAGGTAATAGATCTGCTGCATTAATAACAAGGACTATTACTATTTCCTAACTTTTTGATCTTTCATCATACTTTGATAGCTTTTGATCTATTTTTTTCCTTTTATTCCATGGTTTTTGTTTGTTTATTTGTTTTTGGTTTTTTGGCAGTACTGGAGTTTGAACTCAGGGACTTGCACTTGCTAGGCAGGCACTCTGCCACTTGAGCCCATCCCCAGCCCTTTTGCTTTAGTTATTTTTTGGATAGGAGTTCATATTTTTGCCCAGGGCTAGATACAGAACATGATCCTCCTACCTACATCTTAGTAGCTGCGATCACAGGCTCACACCAGCAAGCCCAGCTCATTTGTTACATGGTTCTCACCAGCTCTTTGCCCAGCTGACTTTAAACTTGGATCCTCCCAATCTCCTTTCAAGTAGCTGGGATGATAAGTTAAGCACATACCTCTGCATTTGACCTATGTGGGTTTTTTGTTTTTTGTGGGGTTTTTTTGGTGGTTCTGGAGTTTGAACTCAGGGTCTCACACTTCCTAGGCAGGCAGGCACTGTACTACTTGAACCACTCCTCCAGCCCTTTTCTGTGTTGGATATTTTTGAGATACAGTCTTGTGAACTATTTGCCTGAGCTGGCTTTGAACCACGATCCTCCTGATCTCTGCCTCCTGAGTAGCAGGAGTGGTTTTTTTGAATGGATTTAAAAACATTGTTGTGAGACAGGATTCATAGACTTCATCAGACACCAGAGGCATCCATGATACATGGCACAAAATAGGCCTAATATCCCTGCTTCACAGTCTCCATGAAAGGCCATGACAATGACCTCATGTGTCCAGGGCTTGCTTGCTTTCCTTTTCTTTATTTCTCTCTCTCTTTCTTTTTTCTTTCTTTTCTCTCTCTCTTTCCTCTCTCTCTCCCCCCCTCCTTTCCTTTCTTTCTTTGCCTGTACTGGAGTTTAAACTCAGAACCTCAAGTGTGATAGGCAGCCTCTGTACCACTGAAGCCACAGCCCCAGCTCTAATCATGCACCCCTTTAAATGAAGATTTGGAGTTCTTCTCATGTAAAATTATAAAGCTAGAAAGTCTTTTAAAGGCCTTTATTGCAATGATTTACAAACTTTTTGACCATGACTCATGGTTAAATATAGATTTCTTTTGTGTATGACCCAATACCTGCACAGGTGAAACATAACTTACCCTCTGTCCCCTTACATCTTTTAATTCTATTTTTCTCAATCTAGTGTATTTCCTTTTTCAGATGATTAACTAACTTAATTTTTATCCAAAGCAACTTGCTTCAGGGGCCTTTTAGAAGTTGCAGCTACTTTCACATAGCTGTCATGATCAAAGAGTAGCCCAGTTACTTCCTTGATGGTTGCTGTTGTATTTGCTGTAACTGATCTGCAGTATTTTGAGAAAAGACAGATCTGTTGGGGGAAAAAAACTCATTTAATTTGGAAATTAGTAGTAGCAGATTTGGAAACAAGTACATATAAGGAGAAAACCTCAGTATTAAAATAACAGATAAAATTAAAAGGCATAAAAGTGAATAATTTAGAATAATTAGAAGTAGAGTATTTACAGTTAATGTTCAGGAAAAACCCCACATAAACTCAAATTGCATAGATTGAAATTTACTTAATCATATAGTTGTGAATTAAGGATATAGTTAAGAATTACCATTCTTGCCGGGCATGGTAACTCACACTTATAATCCTAGCTTCTCAGGAGGCAGTGATCAGGAGGATCTCAATTGGAAGCCAGCCTGGGCAAATAATTCTCAAGACCCTACCTGAAAAATACCCAACACAAAACAGGACTGGTGGAGTGGCTCAAGTAGTAGACTACCTGCCTAGTAAGCATGAAGCCCTGAGTTCAAATCCCAGTACCACCAAAAATAGATAGAAATTATTCTTAAAGTGTGAGTCTTTCAAAATTACTTCTTTAAATCCAAAAGCTAAAAGTAAAAGGTGGCTCAATTATCTTGGTTTAGAAGAGGTCACATTGTTATCTGTCTATTTCTAAATCCAGAGAAACCCCAAAACTTCACCACCAAAAACAATAGGATAGATTGGCCAAAACCAAGACACCAGGTTACATAGAAAGCAGTGTAACCTTTCACTCTCATTTCACCACTGCAAGCCATTGCTTTGGGGGATGTATGTCTTTTCTGTACTGCAAGAATCCAGGTTGCAGCCATAGCAGAGCCAGGGTGTGTATTTAGCTCAGTAGACTGCAGGGTCCATTCAGCACTTAGGTGCATGGAAGGGGAATTGCCTCCAGTTTGAAGATGAGCCTCCCTGGCCTCCAAATTTATGCATTTTCCTTAGCCTCAGGCATAAGTGCCCCTAGTTGGATACATTCAAAGTTGCCTTATTTTTGGGAAGCACCATAAGTATTTTCGCAATTAAGTCTGCTCGTCTGTTTTTTTTGTTTGCTTGCTTTTCTTGTTTTGTGTTACTGGAGTTTGAACCCTACTATATGCTAGGCAAGTGCTCTACCACTGAGCCATACCCCCAAACTTTCTAAACTCAAACTTTCTAAACTAGTGACAGGCAGATGATCTTCTGGGGTTGGATGACTTCTATATGGACAAAGGCGTCACTGAGGGAATTGCTGACCAGAGAGAGGATGGGTCCTGGGAGATTTATGAGGCTATTCAGCAAATTTGTTTATCTAGTTGTCTAAGAGTCTTTTGGAATTGTTACCATTTTTCGACCCCAGACAGAGTCCTTTTTCCCTCTTGGAATTGTGGAATCAATAACAAGTTTGAGCACTGATTGTACAGTGAAGGAAAATTTTATTCTTGGCCAAGATATAGGGTAAAAGATATATCTAGATATATCTAGATCTAGATATATCTATCTATATCTATATCTACATATATATGGAGATATGCGCATGTATTTTCTGGGAATGGGCAGAGACTTTTCCAAGAATTCGGGCACCTTCTGGTTTTGCTCCTTTTATAGTTCTTTCCAGTCATCATCATAGCAGTTGTCACCTGCCGTGGCACTGGGGTATGTGTCATTTAACATGCAGATGGTATTATATTGAAGTCAGAGGTTGTCTGGGGTCACTCTGGAATTCATCTTAGATCCAACCAGTTTAGGCCAGCCCACCCGAAGGGTGTTTAAAGATAAACAAGATTAGAGCGGGGTAGAAACCCACCTAGGTCAAGTATAAAATTAGGGCAGGGGAATAAAATGATCATGGTCCTGATAAACTAGGGCCTGGGAACCACTATCTAGAGAGAGAGAGAGAGAGAGAGAGACGGAGACAGATTGATTAACTTCAAGGGTCTCCTTCACCTTCTATGCTTTTGAACTTGTAAGCCAGTTTTAATCGTGACAGGCTGTGTCATGTCTCCCATGACTAGCTGAAACAGGTATCCTTCAGGAACTATCCCATATAGTCTGCCCCGCCCCCAAACATTTCATCCCTCCAGCGTAGAGATTGGGGAATGGACCAGCATGCAGAAGCAATGGGCAGCCTCCTCAGGATGAGGTGTGGGTCTCCTGCCTTCCATCTCATTGCTTAAAAATACTTGTCATACTAATGGGTTGCCACTTGCTGCTGGAGAAACAACTGAAGTCTTTTTTTTTTTTCTTTTGCATACAAGGTTTGGGTCATTTCTCCCCCCTGCCCCCACCCCCTCCCTTACCACCCACTCCGCCCCCTCCCTCTTCTCCCCACCCCCTCAATACCCAGCAGAAACTATTTTGCCCTTATTTCTAATTTTGTTGTAGAGAGAGTATAAGCAATAATAGGAAGGAACAAGGGGTTTTGCTGGTTGAGATAAGGATAGCTATACAGGGCATTGACTCACATTGATTTCCTGTGCGTGGGTGTTACCTTCTAGGTTAATTCTTTTTGATCTCACCTTTTCTCTAGTTCCTGGTCCCCTTTTCCTATTGGCCTCAGTTGCTTTTAAGGTATCTGCTTTACAACTGAAGTCTTGAAGTCATCACTGCGCTTCCAAGATCAGGTTCCCAGCGGCCACGCCCTGCGGCGGGAGGAGTCGAGCAGAAGGGGGCGTGACCAGGGAGGGCGTGGCTTCTCTGATCGCCCCGCCCATCCTCCGCCGCGTCCGCCCCGCACTCTACGTAGTGAGGCGTGTCTGGAGCCCTGGGGGAGGGGTTAACTTTGCGCCCCACCCCTTGAGAGCACATCACTGCGCGTCGCTGTCGCGCCGGGTGTGACGTCAGAGGTGCGGCCAGGCTGTGCCGTGGTGAGTTGGAGCGCTCAGTTATTTGGGATGGTGGTCGTTAGGCCCGCTGGCGGCCGGGGCCGGAGGGCGGGTGAGCGAGGGAGAGCCGGAGGTCTGCCTCTAAGCAGGTTTGTTCAGGAATGCTCCAGGCCGCGGGGCCTGAGGTGGCTTCTGTGACTCCATTTGCCCTGGCCAATCCTGGGTACAGTCCCCAGGAGAGAGCGAAGGCCCGCAGTTGGGCCCTTCTTTCATTCTGAGAATGTTCTTGTGTAACCCTGAGATTAGGGCTGGGTTCTTGTGCGGGAGGTCGTTTTTCTGTAGGTGGATGGACTGTCTTATCTGAAGTTTTCCAGTTTGGGGTCACGCTGATAGGTAGCAAGCTCCCCATTACTGGACAGCGCCCAGCAGAGGCCGGGTCCTCGTTACTTCGAGTACCATCGGGTATTGTGGGTAATCGACGTGCCCGAGTACTTTATAGAGGCATGTGTAGTATTCATGAAAAAACTGAGTGAGCAATGAGTTCTGCCTGGGAAAATGAGTGGAAAGTTTCCTAAAGAGAGAAGATGGCAAAAAGAGGTCTCAGGGCTCTGAGATTGTCACGCGATAACATACTGGAGTAAGAGGTGATGGGTGTCGGCAGCCTATACTGAGCTTGTATCCACCTTTTAGAGTCAGATTAACCTCGGGAAGCTTCCTTAACCTCTGTAAGTCTCACTTTTCTTAGCAGGAATATGGAGCTGATAATGATACCTACTAAACCGAGTAACCTAGGTTCAGTAAACTAATATATATGTGTACTACTTAAAACAGGACCTGATTCACAGGACATCCCCCAAATGTGTACTCACTGATAAAATCACACTCTGTCTTGGGGAGGCTGGCTTTGTGGAATTTGGTTACCTGCAAGCCTTTCTACTTTTTTGTCATTGTTAATTCTCTTAGTTGTCAAAAATGAAGCCTAGATTGGAAGAGAGGAGGACACACCTGTGCTTGTCTGGGCAGAGGACTGGTGTTCAAGTAGAGATCGCCTGCTGCTTGTTTCAGCAAAATTGGCCTGAGCTCTTTCCTGTCTTTCTACTCTAGGCAAGACCCTGTTCTTGAGTCACAAATGAATAAAACACTGCCCACCTGATTAAGATCTCTAGGCCAGGATTACTTAGACATCATGCCTTTACTGTATGGCCTCTTAAACTGTCTGTGGATAGAACTGAGGGGGCTGTGAACTTGGATGAAAAGAAAAATTGCACTATGTTCCTTAACTTCTGGCTGAAATTTAGCATTTTCTTCCATTATGAGTGTAGGCAACAGACCACAATATTAGCAATGCAACTTTGTTATGAATAGAAATTAGATATTTCATATCAGGGTATTGTTTCTGTTTTGTTGTTGTTTTGTTGGAGACAGCATTTTACCATGCAGCCCAGACTGGCCTTGAACTCAAGATCCTCCTGCCTCAGCTTCCCAAGGGCTGGGATTGCAGGTGTGTACCAGCACATTCAGCAGGATATTAAGTTCCTCACACTTTGAAATTATGGTGGTTATTAGACTTCCTGCTGAAACTTATTATCTATTGCATTAATAAAGAAGCACATGTTGTGCTGTCACAAATTTAGTTTTAGTTTTTGATGAAATTATATTTCAACATATAGTCTGTTACTATTGGTGGATTCTGTGTTTGTGAATTTGCCTACTTGCTAAAATGTATCTATAACTCCAAAAGCAGTACTTGGAAGGCTCCTGTGGTCTTTGGAGGACATGTGCAAGGTGGTGAAAATTTTGAGTCACTTGGTGCCCAGTTATCAACTGACACTCTGCCTTGCTTCAGCTCCCAGACTGTGAGCAAGCATCCTTTCTGCAGTCTTTGAGGGCATACTTTTTGAATTTGGGGGCTTTTTTTTTTTTTTTTTATGGTTAAGGTACCTCCTGAGAGTAGTGCTGAAGTGTTATCCAGTATTGCTAAGTGCAAGAAGCCTGTGATGTATCTTTTGGAAAAAATATGTTCCTTAGATAAGCTTTGTCTAGGCATGAGTTCAATATGAATGAATTGCTAATGTATAGCCATTAAAGTGCCCTTAAACAGAAGCACACATAAAAGCCAGTTACATATTGATCAGTTGACAAATCTGTTTCCTTGCAGAGCAGCAGCTTGCTTACTTGCTCATGTAGTATTTGTGGCAACCTTACAGAGCACAACTACCTTGTAATGAGAATGCAGTAAACTTGCTTTTCTTTCAAATTCTTTGTATTTATATACATCTAAAAACATCCAGAGATAGGGCTTATAGGCTTTATAAGGCTGCTACATGTGTCTCTGGTGCACAAATGTAAAGAACCCTTAGTCTGTGAAATTAAATAGTTCTTGTTTTGTCTTGGCTTTGTTTTTTGAGACAGGATCTTATTATGTAGCTCAGGCTGATTTTGAACTCACAATCCTCCTGCCTCTGCCTGCTGAATAGCTAGAATTACAGGTGTATGTCACAATGCCTGGCTTAAATCTGTTCTTAAAATAAGCTAAGTCTGTATTTAGCCAAGCTAAATTCTTGAAGACTTTGGTGTGTTTGAGGAGACGTGTCTCCCTACAGCCCCTGTCCTTATTTACATACTTACAGGCTCTTAAAGGCATTTTTGGTTGAGGCCTCTGCCTGCTCTGAAAGAACTTTCTATCTTTGGGCACCATCACCCCCCCCAATCCCCGTGCTTGCTTACTGAGTTGAAGAAATTATATTTAAAATTAAAAGAGCCTATGATTTTTGTCTCTCTGAAGGGCAGTAAGAGACAAAGTCTGGCCACTCTCTATAATCAGACTTGGGGAAAAGAATCCATGGTGTTGAGTCCCTGGGAGAAAGAAGACCACCCCTCCTGGTAGGGTTCTCAAAGGGACCCCACATACACACAAGGGGCTGAGCCATAGAAAGGTATCAGAACAACTCCACAACAAAGGGTTGCCTTATTGTCTTGGTGAAAAGGAACCTCCTGTGCTCCCCCACCCCCCATCCTGATGATAACCCCCTTACTGAAATCCTGGTGTTGCTTCCACAGAGCTGTCTGGCCTTTAGCCTGTCATCCTTGGTTAAGGAAATGACCAACCAGGTAAGGCCTGCGTTGAGAGGAAGAACATCAGTTGGTCCCTGACAAGTTCAAGCCCAATAGGTTGTGTGGGTATGTAGTCAGGAAACTAATGCCTAATTCTTTTCCTATTCCTAAAGAGCTGGATGACCTTTGGCACCTAGTCGTCACAGGGTTAGGTGGTACCAGAAAGCACCACACTACGAGTAGGATTAGTTAAACCTTTACCACAGTTTATAGTGGGATGGAGGAAACTTAAAATTTTGTACACAGAACAGGAGGTGGAACAGGAGAAACATCTTTAAGATTAGGGACAAAGGTAGCACGTTATGTGTACAGGATCTGTAGTAGTCTTGTACTGTTGCAAACTGGGCCTTTAGCTTTCTGTGATCAGGGCAGAAAAAAGAAAACATAATTTATTGGTTTTCAGTGGGTTAAGGTGTTAATAGTTAGGGAGGGGAAATTATCAGTTTCTTTAGAATTTATTTTTTTCTGTTATGACTGTACAAATCTTGCATGAATGGGAATCAGGGAACTTGCAGGCTGGTCAGAGCGACAGCAGAGGGAGTGGCTAACATTGCAATCACTGTGTACTCGAAGGGCTCCAGGGAGGGATGCAAGATAGCTAACTCTGACCATTGCTTTAACATGGCTTCTGTTCTTTTTCAGTACAGTATTCTCTTCAAACAAGAGCAAGGTAAGGAGCTTGCCGTTCAAGCAAATTCACTTGTGAAAAATGCGTTGGCCCTGGTTTTGTTAAGGTTTTGCATGCCGACCAGACATGCAGTTCCCAGGTGTACTCACTTGGTAGAGGCAGTCAGGAACAAATACAATTAAAGAAAAAACCTGACTAGCTAGTGAGAAGCAGGAATCACGTGATACACTAGAGAACTCTGCAAGGAAAGCCTCCCACCTGAGGAAGATGCAACTCTGAGATTGCCAGATGCCAGGGTGAAAGGAGGAAATGCTTTTGAGTTTCAGAACTCTGCAGACTACAGACTACTACTTGAGCAGGCTGAAGTTTAAGCCCAGAGCATCCTCCCTGGTTTTCTAGTGTAAGTACCTACTAGGCTAATTGGGCATCCATCACTGCTTAGTAAGAGGCTGCTGCCATCCAGTCAGCAAGCTAGCAGGCTTGGGTTTGGAGATTGGAAGTGAATTCATGCCCCTGCACGTGACTCCAGCTGCTTAAGTATAATGCCTTTATTTTCATGTTCTGGGAAGACAACCTTGGGGAATTGTATCCAGGCATGGGTAAAGCATCTGTGTACGTTCACTTTTTGTGTGTGTGGTATTGGGACTTGAACTCAGGGCCTTGCACTTGCTAGGCAGCATTCTACCACTTGAGCCACACCCCCAGCCCTGCTTTTTAGTTATTTTTCAGATAGAGTCTCAAGTGGTTTTGCCTGGGACCAGCCTCTCATTGTGATCCTTCTACTTATGCCTTCTGCTAATTGACCTCACACCATCACACCCAGCTTATTGATTGAAATGGGGTCTTACTAACTACTCCCTGCTCCACCTGCCTCTGCCTGTCCTCAAACCAAGAGCTTCCTAATCTTTGCCTCCTGATTACAGGATACCGTGCCCAAAAACTTTTTGACTTTCTGTATCCACACAGGGTCTGCAGACCCCACAGTGTAGTCCACCAGATACGTAGCTTGCAGAGTTAGATTTAAGGTGGACATGAGTTAACAGATCAGGTTTGCTAAATCTGCCCCTTTTAGCTTGTGCCTTTGGAAGCTATGAGGCTTCTCCAAGCCTCAGATTCCTTGTCTGTGAAATGAGGTGATTCACCCTCACTACCCTGCCCCCTGCCCCAACCCCATGTGCCAGTACTGGGGAGGGATCCAACCCAGTGCCTTGCACATGATTGGCAAGTGCACTTTCACAGAGTTACATCCCAGCGCTTTTTTTTGAGACAGGGTCTTGCTATGTTACTCAGGCTGGCCTTGAACTCTTGATCCTGCTGCCTCTGCCTCACAAGTGTTGGGATTACAAGTGTGCACCACTACACCTGGCAAGGATTATCTTAATAGTACCTGTTTCCTAAGGTGGTTGTGATTGAGACAACACTTATGAAAGGATTAGTATAATAAATGGCCCATTAAGCATAATAAAGACATTTGTGGTAAAAGGCAACTCGTATGTTTAGGCCTGTGCTGTTTACAGTTGAACCACTTATTTTCAAAGATCTTTAACTTGTATCTCATATCAAGTTTAAGTCTTTTTTTTGGTTGGGGGGCTCGATGCTGGTTCCAGACTGATGTGTGCTGGACAGCATGCTAACAGAAAGAGTGTTGGGTTTGGAGTCTGAAGACCTGGCGTATTCTGGTTCTCTCTCCCCACCTGGTGAACTTTTGTTTTAGGGTGTGTGGCTTCTTCAGAACCTCCAGTTTTCATATGTGCTCCCACAATTCCAACAGAAGCTCTATGGGAAACAAAAAAAGCAGATAGAAGTGGACGTTACCTCAGAATTGTTGGACAGTATTTTGGCTTCATTTTAATCACATTAAATTTAGAAGTTATATGCTTGGAAGCTTTCTAATGAAGCACTTTCCATTCTAGCCCATGATGATGCCATTTGGTCAGTTGCCTGGGGGACAAACAAGAAGGAAAACTCTGAAACAGTGGTCACAGGATCCCTGGATGACCTGGTAAAGGTCTGGAAATGGTGAGCATCTCTCCCCAAACATGGAAGATTGGGGTGAATGTTTTGCTTCTGGGCTCCCAGGTTGCTACTGGGAAAGTATTAACTTTTTCTAGACAAGAAAACAATGGCAATGTTGTTAAATCAGCAGTTTGTTTTTTCTCACTCATTTTCCTGTTGTTTGGTATTTAAAACAAAACAAAACCCAAAGTTCAGACCTGGCTGCATTTGGTGTTCTGCTGCTCTGCAGTTCCTCAATTCTGCATTTCATAGATTGTTGGTAACACATAGTCCCAGGGACCCAGAATTTCTGATGCCAGCTACAGTATCTTGTGTGTGAAGAAATCCCTTTCTCTGTCTCCCATTGAAGGCGTGATGAGAGGCTGGACCTGCAGTGGAGCCTGGAGGGACATCAGCTGGGGGTGGTGTCTGTGGACATCAGCCATACCCTGCCTATCGCTGCATCTAGCTCTCTTGATGCTCATATTCGACTCTGGGACTTGGAAAACGGCAAACAGATAAAGTCTATAGATGCAGGACCCGGTAAGAGTTCTACATTTAGGGGAGGTAGCAGAGGTCCACAATCACTTTTCAAAGCCCTTAGGGACAGTGGTGTTTACAGTTCAGGATTTGATTTCAGGTTTGTGAAGGGAGGTGTGGGTGCATGAGCTGTACATTACACAGTGCCTTTGTTGGGAAAGAAAGTGTTCTAATCACACACTGATCTCTTCAGCTAGACATGGGTTTATGTGCTAAGTGAGGTAAAAAGGCTAGGAATAGCTTTACATTAGCTCAGGTCCAATTTTGCTGCCAAATGAATTTTGGTACAATACTTAGGGGAAAATTCATAGTTTTCAGAGCTTTTTGGATTTCAGTATTGTCAGTTTGGAATTTTTGACCTGTATTTGGATATTTGGATGGTCCAGCCATTCTCTGTTTGCCACACTATGAATTAATACATTCACTGCCCTTTTAGACATCTAGAACAGAGCACTATATCCTCACAGATATGTTTTCTGATGTGCAGTAGGCATGAATCAGTTTAAGAAACAAATTCGTTGATTTTTTTATTTTCGTAGTACTGGAGGTTGAAAATGGCTTTTGCACTTGCCAGGCAGGCGCTCTGCCCCTGAAGCCTTGCTGCCTGCCCTCTTGCTGTGGTTCTTTTGGAGATTGGGTCTCACTTTGTGCCTGGGCCAGCCTGAACCACCAACCTCCTATTTGTGCTCCCCCAAGGATCTGGAATGGCAGGTGTGCACCACTGCACCTGGCCTTTGCTTGAAATGGGATCTCGAAAACTTTTTACCCAGGTTGACCTTGAACCTCAATCCTCCAAATCTCTGTCTCCTGAGTAGCTGGAATTACAAGAGTGAACCATGTGTTCAGACTTAAAAAAAAAATATATATATATATATTTTTTTTTTTTTCCAGACTATGTAATCTTACCTCTCAGCTTTGCTAAACATTATGTGGGATAAAAGTAAGGAAAGATTTCAGTGGGCTGGGTGGATGTGGAACTAACAACATGCCATTTCACGTTACTTGAGCCTCTGGTTGTTGTTTTTTGTGGAGGGGGGCATTACCTGGGTTTGAACACTGAGCCTCATGTTTGCTAAGCAGGCACTCTAACACTTGAGCCTCCACCAGCCCTTTCTTGTATTGGGCAATGTTTTTTTTTTTTTTGCGGTACTGGGGTTTGAACTCAGGGCCTACACCCAATCCTTTTTTTTTTTTTTTTTAACTTATTGTTTATTCATTTATTCATATGTGCATACATTGTTTGGGCCATTTCTCCCCCATCCCTTCCCTCTCCTCCCCATCCCCCTGGTTTCCAGGCAGAACCTGCTCTGCCCTCTTCTCCAATTTTGATGAAGAAAAGACTTAAGCAATAATAATAAAGACATAGCGTTTTTGCTAGTTTGAGATAAGGATAGCTATACAGAGAGATGCCTAGCATTGCTTCCATGCACAATTGTATTACAGCCTGAATTGATTAATATCTACCTGACCTCTTCACTATTTCCTGTCAGTTTAAGATTACTTTTTTAGCTCCTCTACAGTAGGCACATCGAACACTTTCAAGTTTTAGGTTTCCTTCCCTTTCCCTATTCCTCCCGTATGCATTCTCCCTTTAGCGTGTGACCCATGTCCAATAATATTACTGCATTTGTTTTAGGTCTAAAGTGCACATTTGAGGGAGAATGATTTTTGGTCTTCTGAGCCTGGCTACCTTCGCTTAAGATGATGTTCTACAGTTCCATCCATTTACTTGTGAATGATAAGATTTCATCCTTCTTCATGGCTGAGTAAAATCCATTGTGTATAAATACATTTTCTTAATCCATTCGTCAGTAGTGGGGCATCTTGGCTGTTTCCATAACTTGGCTATTGTGAATAGTGCCGCAATAAACATGGGTGTGCAGGTGCCTCTGGAGTAACCTGAGCCGCAGTCCTTTGGGTATATCCCCAAGAGTGGAATTGCTGGATCATATGGCAGCTCTATGTTTAGTTTTTTAAGAAGCCTCCATATTGTTTTCTAGAGTGGTTGTATTAACTTGCATTCCCACTAGCAATGTATGAGGGCTCCTTTTTCCCTCACATCCTTGCCAACATTTTTTGTTGGTGGTGTTTTTTTTTTTTTTTTTTTTTCATTTTTCTTTTATTATTCATATGTGCATACAAGAATTGGTTCATTTCTCCCCATTGCCCCCACCCCCTCCCTTACCACCCGCTCCGCCCCCTCCCTCTCCCCCCCTCAATACCCAGCAGAAACTATTTTGCCCTTATTTCTAATTTTGTTGTAGAGAGAGTATAAGCAATAATAGGAAGGAACAAGAGTTTTTGCTGGTTGAGATAAGGATAGCTATACAGGGCATTGACTCACATTGATTTCCTGTGTGTGGGTGTTACCTTCTAGGTTAATTCTTTTTGATCTAACCTTTTCTCTAGTACCTGTTCCCCTTTTCCTATTGGCCTCAGTTGCTTTAAGGTATCTGCTTTAGTTTCTCTGCGTTAAGGGCAACAAATGCTAGCTAGTTTTTTAGGTGTCTTACCTATCCTCGTCCCTCCCTTGTGTGCTCTCGCTTTTATCATGTGCTCATAGTCCAGTCCCCTTGTTGTGTTTGCCCTTGATCTAATGTCCACATATGAGGGAGAACATACGATTTTTGGTTTTTTGAGCCAGGCTAACCTCACTCAGAATGATGTTCTCCAATTCCATCCATTTACCAGCGAATGATAACATTTCGTTCTTCTTCATGGCTGCATAAAATTCCATTGTGTATAGATACCACATTTTCTTAATCCATTCGTCAGTGCTGGGGCATCTTGGCTGTTTCCATAACTTGGCTATTGTGAATAGTGCCGCAATAAACATGGATGTGCAGGTGCCTCTGGAGTAACAGTCTTTTGGGTATATCCCCAAGAGTGGTATTGCTGGATCAAATGGTAGATCGATGTCCAGCTTTTTAAGTAGCCTCCAAATTTTTTTCCAGAGTGGTTGTACTAGTCTACATTCCCATGTTGGTGGTGTTTTTGATGATAGCTATTCTAACAAGGGTGAGGTGGAATCTTTGTGTGGTTTTGATTTGCGTTTCCTTTATGGCCAGAGATGGTGAGCATTTCATGTGTTTTTTTGCCATTTGGATTCTTTATTTGAAAAAGTTCTGTTTAGTTCAGTTGCCCACTTCTTTATTGGTTTATTGATTTTGGGGTTCCCTGTATATTCTGGTTATCAGTCCTTTGTCTGACGTATAGCTAGCGAATATTTTCTCCCATTCTGTGGGTGGTCTCTTCAGTTTAGAGACCATTTCTTTTGTTGTGCAGAAGCTTTTTAATTTCATGTAGTCCCATTTGTCTGTCCTTTCTCTTAGTTGCACCAGCTCTTTTTGTGATGGGTGTTTACAGTATAGTGTCTCAAGAACTGTTTGCCCTGCTGGCTTCAAACCTTGATATTCCTGATCTCTGCCTCCTAAGTAGCTAGGATTACAGGTATGGGCCACTGGCATCCAGCATTCAGTTTTTGTTTTTATTTTTGTTGTTTTTTTTTCTTTGTGGGTCTGGGATTTGAACTCAGGGTTTTGTGCTTGCAAAGCAGACACTCTACCACTTGAGCCACCCCTCTCTTCCATTTTGCTCTGGTTATTTTGGAGTTGGGGGGTCTCATGAACTATTTGCCTGGACTGGCCTCAAACTGTGATTCTCCTAAACTCAGCCTTCCAAGTAGCTAGAATTACAGGTATGGGCCACTGGCACCTAGCTCTTTAGCCTCCTGTTTATAAATGCCTGCATGATCCTCAGCAGTGGACCCTCTTCTGTTTCAATGGGTGGTGACCACTAGAGGATCTGGTGTCTCGGGCATACCCCTTTTGCCCCTTCTTGGGTTGATTATGGAAGAACTGTTGAGGTGTTTCAGTGAAATGATTCTCCAGTGGACTTGCCTCCCACCAGTTATGCTCAGTAGCCACCATCTGATTACTCCCATATTGCAAAGAATGGAGGCCTCAGAGTTTGTAAGCAGACTGGGTGGTCTGGAAGCTGGCGCACTTAGCCTCGGAAGCAAGTAACAAAAGCAGCCATTGCTGTTGACAGCTGAATTCACTGAAGGTCCAGCTCTTTTGATAAGTCTGATGAAAGTAGGGAAAATGGATACTTAAGATATACCTAGCTTGAAAATATCCACAGAGAATGTGAACCACCACAAAAGAAGCAATTAAAAAAAAAAAAAAGAGAAAGAGAGAGGAAAACTCTGACCCTGAAGTAAAGTGAGAAAACAAAGCTGCAGGAGAAGATGAAGTGCTGGGCACTCCACCAACTGCAGCTTTCCAGGTCTGAGAAGACCAGGGGTGTCAGTGGAGGCCCCTGCATGTCAGGCATTCCAGATGTCCATGGAGGGAGACAACTCTTTCAGTGAGGAGACACTCAGCAATGGAAACAGACATTTATTCTGCAAATGCTTACATTAAGTCTTAGAGCGTGAGATCTGATTGAGGGATAAAAATGGTTCCTTCTATTGAACCTGACATTTGGTAGTGAAAGTTCTAAATTGCAAAACAGTTAATAGGGAAATGTAAAAATAATATAGAAGAATCTTTTTTTTAAGCTTTGAAGAATAAAAGTTAGGTTGTTTAAAAGCCATTGTTTCTGTAAACAGGTAAGTATAAGAGGAATAAGAATATGTAATACTAAGTGGGCCCCACTCGAACATATTATACAGGAGTTGGCAAAGACAGGTGCAGCTACCTGAGTGTTTGATTATAAGAGCCTTTTCAGGTCTTGTTGGTTAATTGAGCACTTATTTTTTGGAGGGGGCTTGCAGGGCAGTACTGGGGTTTGAACTCATGCTTGCTAGGCTGATGCTGTATCACTTGAGCCACACCACCAGCCCTTTTTTACTGCAGTGATTTTTCAGATAAGGTGCCACATTTTTGCTCCAGGCCAGCCTCAGATTTCTGTCCTCCTAATTATGCCTTCCTAGTGGTTCGGACTATAGCATGTGGTCACCACACCCTTTAAAGTAAATTAAAGTAAATTTTGCTTTTGAAACAAATATTTCACAAGTAAAATGATCCAGCTAAATATTTTAATAAATAAATATGTGTGTATTGTATATATAGTTATACATAATCTATAAGTATGACATATTTAATAAGTAGATTATTTAATTATAGTTGGATGTGTATGTGAAAATGTTTCAAGAAAATTTTATTTTAACCTGCCCCCCATCACCCTGAGATGGGGGGATGTGGCTCATCTGTGCTCTAGTCCCAGTCTTCCATGAGATAAGCTCACAGAGGTCTCCTTCACTGTCCCATTGGGTAAGAAGAGTAGAGAGGATTCCAGACATGGCCTTCCTGAACCTTGCCCCAGGAATGAGGAAGGTGACTTGGGAAGGAGCCTTTTCTTCATAAGCACTGTTCCTGGGAAGGGGTGGGACTTCAGGGTTGTCCCCAAATGAAACTGGGCTTGGGAAAAATGATCCAGACAGGCAGTGAATAGATTGTTCCTTGGTCACTAGGGACTGACCCAGTTCCCAAAGCTGTTAAGATTGCCTCTGAAGGGCAGCGCTCCCAGAGAGCTAAGAAAAGAAGTGCTAAAATGTCCTCAGTGGCCCAGGTGGATATACACTGCCCTTGGGCTCGCCCAGCCACATCCAAGTCTGGAGACCTCCCTCATGCTTGGGCTAAAGAAGCCCAAGTCAGACTTGGGTTGAACTCTTGAGCCTAGCTGAGATGTGTGCTGCAACTTCACAGCAAATGGATGTTTTACATGGCTCCCGATTCTCTGTTCATTTGTAGTAAATTGTTGTCATGTTACAGTTTTATGTAAGAATATTTTGGGTGCATCTTCATTTATTTATAGCTTAATTCGGGTCACATTTCACCTGTATAATCATTGCACTGTTCAATTAGCCATTTTAAGTGTATGGTTCACTGAGTGGACTTCTATACTTGTGCAGCTATCACCCAATTTTAGAACTTCCCTGTCAAAAAAGTCCCTCAAGCTCACTTATAGTCACTTATAGTCCCCTAGCCTCAATCAACCACTCAGTTGCTTTCTGCCTCTGTGGTTTTGCCTTTTTTGGAAAATTTCATGCAAGTGCAATTTTATTGTCTTAGGTGGCCCTTTTTTTTTTTTTTTTTTTTTTTGGTGGGACTAGGGTTTGGACTCAGGACTTTGGGCCTGTAAAGCAGTGCTCTGTGGCTTGAGCCACACCTCCAGTTCATTTTGCTCTGGTTATTTTAGAGATGGGGCTGGCCTCGAACTGAGATCCTCTCAATCTCAGCCTCCCACATAGCTAGGATTTCAGGCACGAGCCACCAGCACTTGGCTTTTTTCTTTAGCGTAATGTTTCTGAGGTTCACCCATGCTGTAGCATGGATTTGTTCCTTTTTGATGCTAAGAGGTATTCTGTTGTGAGGAGGTACCTCATGTTTGTCCAGTTACCAGCTGATAGACATTGGGATCGTTTCCAGTTTGAACTATTCTGAATAAAGCTGCTGTGAGCATGCGTGTATAAGTCTGTGTGTGTACATGTTTTCATTTCTCGAGTTGCTACCTAGGAGTGGAATTGATGGGTATTATGGTAAGTGTTTGTTTTCACTTAAGAAACTATCAAACTGGTTTTCAGAGTTCCTATCCCTCAAAGTGGCTGTTGCCACCAGTATATGAGGGTTCTGGTTTTTCTATGTCCTTGTTAGCACTTGGTATTGTCCTATTTTTTATTAAAAATTTAAGAAGCCCTTAAATGTAAAGAATTAGCATCTTTGCAACATATTTTCTGAATGGGACTCAGTTTCTCTAACTTAATAAAGGTATCATTTGGTAAAAGTTGAGTTTTTAAATTTAAGGTCAGATCTTTTCTCGGTATAATTTTTTCCTTCTTTCTCTCAGTGGACGCCTGGACTTTGGCCTTTTCTCCTGATTCCCAGTATCTAGCCACAGGAACTCATGTGGGGAAGGTGAACACTTTTGGCGTGGAAAGTGGGAAAAAGGAATATTCTTTGGACACGAGAGGAAAATTCATCCTTAGTATCGCATATGTAAGGAAACCTTATTCTCTCTTCTCTTTCTGATTCTTTGAGTTTACTTTTCCAGCTTGTTACAGTTCTTGGCATGGATCCTACGTTAGTCTTGTCAGGCAGCTGCTGTCTGCTGGTGTGATTTGCCAGGCACCAGTCAGACCTGCAGCCAGCAGGAGATTGCTTGTTCGAAAGAGATAGCTTAACAACACCCAGCCTCACAGCACTCATTTTCCTAATGTGCTCCGAACAGAGTCCTGATGGGAAATATCTGGCCAGTGGAGCCATAGATGGAATCATCAATATTTTTGATATTGCAACTGGAAAACTTCTGCATACACTTGAAGGTACAGCCTGCCTTACTTTGTGCAAGTGGGTCACCAGATCACAAAGGAAGAATTATTCATGAAAGTGCTGTTCAGTGGTACATGAGTATTACATTTGCAAAATACTTTACTCTTAGCTGGAAAATCCAAAGTCTAAGTTTTAGACTTACCACTGATTTTAACCTTGACATATTAGTTCTTTAAGTGTTAAAAGCTTGTTTTAGGGAATTACTTTTTATTTATGTGTTAATATACCCCAGCCATATTAGATCTGATTTTTGTTAGTTTTGGTTCTAAAGAACTTCATGATTGGAAGGCAGTTCCTTTTGGTTATAATTTGACGGTACACGAGAGTATTGTGCTCACTCTGTATGCTGGCAGTCTGGGGAGGAGGACTGACTAGCCAAAGAACAGGGATGGGGTAGGAGGGAGACTATTAAGTATTCTGTACTGTTTTGTGTTCTAACCAAGTGAATGCATTGCTTCCTTAGTTTATCCTTTCCCTACAAGAAGGATTTGGTAGGGAAGTAACATGTTGTCTGTTGCATATTTCCATTTTGGCCATGTTTATTGTCACACTGAGTTTTTCTAAAGCAGTGCATGTTCAGGCCCAACTGGTCAGGGAGGGGAACTAAAGAGAAATGATTCCAGAAGGAAGGTCAGGTTACATGGGTATTTCTAGGACATTAGGAAGGGTCCAGTCAGGACAGTTCCAGGGGCACAGGAAATGGGAAGCTGGATGAGGAGACCAGATTAACAAGGTTCTTATGAATTTCAGGCCATGCTATGCCCATTCGCTCCTTGACCTTCTCCCCAGACTCTCAGCTCCTTGTCACTGCCTCAGATGACGGCTACATCAAGATCTACGATGTGTAAGTTACCTTGTTGAGAATAAAAGGTCTCAGCCCTTGTTGTTAGCAGGAGCACTAGGGAGTGTGCTGCGTCACTGCTGCTCCTAATAGAGATACAAGTGTATCATAACAGAAACCCTGGTCTCCCAGTCATTCCTGCTCCAGTCAGCCTCCTTGCCTTTCAGCTTAGTGTGTGTTGTCAAGGTGTGTGTGGAGATAAAGGTGCCTAGTATCACTGATAGGATCAGGTACCTGCTACTTTTTCTCAGGTAGCCCTTTTGCTTTGTTTTGTGTTGGCTGATTTTAAATTCTTTTGGGTGGCTATGTACCCAAAAAAGCTATGTAGTGTGTATAGGCCTGACTAACCAGGGAGGGGAACTAAGGAGAAATGGCTCCAAGAGGAAGGCTGTGGTTATGTGGGTATTTCTAGTACATTCTGAAGAAGGTCCCAGATGGTACCTTCTTCTGTGACTAAAGCGGCAGAGCAGTCAAAGAAATGGAGCCCTGGGCTATAGCTGGCCTACGGCGACAGTAAAAAAAAAATTAGAGTATCCATTTCTAGGTATGGGGCTCTTCCCGCAGATACTCCAGCCAGTGCCCTAGTAGGGAGCCCGCTGCAGCTCTAGGCTGGGAGCCTTTCGTGGTCTTCCTGGACTGCCAGTGTAGAAGTGAGCTTTGGTCCATGGCTCTATCACTGAGAGCCTGGGCAGGCCCCTTTCTCCTGGTGTTTTTTCCCATCATTCTCAGTCCCCACTCGTATTCCCCCATATGATCACGTTTGATATGTGTGCTTGATACTGTGCCTTGTCACTGCCATCAACTGTCCTTGCCCAGTGTATCTCTGGGTCATCACTCCCAAATGTGACATTCTAACCCACTGCATATGTGTCACACGTGTACCATCTGTGTGCGTGATGAGCCGGGAGAACTTTTCTGAGAGTTTGAACTTGGGAGTAGTAACACTGTTTCTTCTAACCTACTTCTGGCATCTTTTGGATGACAAGTTATCAGATAGGCATGCGGCTTTTGACATTAGAGCTGAAAGAGGGTGCTAGGGCCCAGAGGAGAAGCTGTCTCTTTAAAGTGTTATGTGCTTATTAGTAGCAGAGCCAGCACGAGTAAGTAGTGGTAATACCTTGAGTATTTCACTTTGTGACTTTCAGTGCTACGTTATTGGCCCTCTCAGCTGCTGGAGATAGCACTTCTTACCTCTCCTCGTCCCACTGCGTCCCACTGCATCCCACTGCGTCCCACTGCATCCCACTGCATCCCACTGAGGCTGTCTTTGTAATACCTAACTGAGGTCTGTTTCCAGGAGTAAAGCTGCTTAACTGGCCTAGTTAGGCCTCAGGGTGGTTCTCCTGCTCTAGGTGACTTGGTTTCTCTTTTTTAAAAGGGAAAATGGCTGTCTTGTTCTTGGATATGTTTAAGTGGTCTGTCTCAGCCCATCTATGACAAAGAGCACATCTTGCTTTCTTAGATGGGAGACACTGGCCTCGTGGGGCAGGCGTCCCAGGCCTGCTGCTTGATCAGAGGCCTGATTCTCAGTCATCTCCTCTTGGAGTCAGCTTACTGAGCCTGTGGAGTATAGTTCTTTTCTTATTTTGACCTCTTAAGCTTTCTGTTTGTTAGGGATCTTATTCTTGGCTAATGGTGGGATTGATGCACCATGGATTAATGTCACTGTAGAAATCTCTGTGATGCATTGTACTACTTCATTGAAAAGGGAATTTTTTGATAACAGTAGCATGGTTACTATAAGGATAGCAGATTCAGTCCAGTTATATGAGCAGAGTTAATAATATATTTTCCACTTCAGTGATTATATCCCAAAAATTAACATCTCCATTTTGTGTGAACCTTTCCCATTTCAGGCAACATGCCAACTTGGCTGGCACACTGAGTGGCCATGCCTCCTGGGTGCTGAATGTTGCATTTTGTCCTGATGATACTCACTTTGTCTCCAGGTACTTATGATTCTTAGCAGTTTCTCAGTTGCTTGGGAGAGCTGGGCATGGTGATGCACACCTGTAATCCATCAGTTAGGAGATGGAGGCAAGAGGATCATGAGTTTGAGGCCAACCTGGGCTACACATTGAGTTTCAGTTATCCTAAGATACATAAGACCCTGTCTCAAAAAAATAAGAAACTTAGACTTGTAAGGAAAATCTGAGTTTATTGGCTCACAAGAAGTTATCTTTGTTCCATCTAAGAACAACTGACTTCATTGAGTAAAAACTTTTAAAACTGCAGTAAACAAAGGCAACTTGAATTTATAAGGAGTCACACAGTCTTCAGATTTTAAGGCAATTCATATTTGAAGACTATCTTCATCTTCCAAGCATTTTATAAGTTCTTACTTACTCTGAGGTATACCTGTGTTCTAGTAGTAACTTAAATATGTAAATTTGCTTATAAAATGTGCCTCTGAACCCTAGTGTTATTCAGGCCCAGGGTGGCTAAGGTGGCTGAGAAGCATGAGGGGACAGGGTGAAGCCAGTGCAGGTGCGTTAGAGGCCTCTAGAGCCCTTATTTTGAAACTTCTGCAGGCCTTCTTCCCATCCAGAAAGAGGCCCAAAACTCCTGACATTATTAGCACTTGGTAGGACGACCAGGCTGCCTTGTGAGGATGAGGGCCCCAAGGGGGCTCAGAAGACAGGAGTCAGTGAGGTCAGTGAAGGAGTGTGGGCTTTGGGGTCTGTGTTCTAATGCTGATGTTTGCTTTTTAATAGTTCATCTGACAAAAGCGTAAAAGTCTGGGATGTCGGAACAAGGACTTGTGTTCACACCTTCTTTGATCACCAGGATCAGGTATAAGTAATTATCATTTCAGTTTGTTTGTCTTTAGATTGCTGCCATTGTGTGATCACTGGGGCAAAACAGTCTTCCTAATCTTGCTGTTGTGAGTGTAAACCCCTGGGACAGAGCTGCTCTGTCTGCTTCAGTGTCCATCAACCTGTGTTCCTGTGTGTGGGCCGCAGAGCCTGGGATGTGCTGTCAGCCTAGCACCCAGGGAGCAAGTCCCTACTCAGGCTGGAAGGCATGAGTTCAGTCATGCTGCCTTCTTTGAAATTATGCAGCCTGTGCCTGTGGCATGCCTGGGCCCTCTTCTGGGCACCTCTGGTCCATGACTGGCTCAGGAAGGACCTCCCTCTTAAGGAGTTTTTGCTTAAACACTATTTTTAGAACTGTCCAGAGATGATTTTTTTTTTTTAATACAGTAGAAACTGGCAATTCTTAACAAATGGTTTGACTTTAGTGATGGTGCCTTTATTGCCATCTTTGAAAAGAGACTATCTTTATCTTAGCCAAGGTGCATATGAAATGCTAAAGGTGTTCTAATGCAGCACGTCTCAGTCCTCAATGTGCACATAAATCCTCTGGGAATCTGCTTAAAATGTAGATTCTGGGCTGGGTGTGGTGGCACATCAATAAATCCCAGCACTCAGAAGGCTGAGGCAGGTAAATCTTGGCAGCACCCTGTCTCAGAAACTGCTGGGGCACAGTAGCTCATGCCCATCATTCTAGCGACTTGGAAGGCAGAGGTTAAAAGGATTGTAGTTGGAAACCAGCCTAGGCAAAATGTTCATGACCCCATCTCAACCAAAAAAAGTTGGGATGGTGGCATGCAACTTGTCATCCTAGCTGTGTGGTAAATGTAAACGGGAGATCGCAGTCTAGGCTGGCGTTAGCATAAATGCAAGATCCTACTCCAAATAGTCTTAAGCAAAAAAGGGCTGGAGGTGTGCCTAGTAAGCACAAGGTCCTGAGTTCAAACCTCAGTACCACAAAAACAAGGTGGGGTAGGGGGGCTTCTGATGCAGTAGGTCCTGTGTGGCCTGAGATAGTTTTTATATCAAGCACCCACCTGAGGCCAGCACTGTTGAGCCCAGGCACTCTCTGTAGCAAGGGTCTAGAGGAACCAGTCAGCAGAACAGTGAAATGCCCACAGCAGCATGAAGTTCACTCTTCATAGATTTTGTGTGGTTTTAACTAAACCTATAGATGTCTCTCCTTTTGGAATGCAACTTAAGGCTAACATGCTTTTACCTTTAGTCCTAAATTGTTGAAGTCCTAAGGTGAAGCGGGTCATACCTTCATAGGCCCCTCCTGGATTTAGATGTTCTTCTTAGGGAATAAGTGCTGGCTCTGTGTGTGGTCTTGAGTGTAGGGTCAGTGTGGTGCTGTTTCAGAGGAAGGTGTTTGGAGTGGAAGTGACATCGTCACGTGGCCCAGTGACCACACTAAAATCAGGGCTAGACACCTATCTCAAGGTGAGGTGACAGCCTGACCACCCAGCATTGCCTAGTGATCAAGAAGTTATTTCCAATGAGAGAAACTCCAGTCACATCAATTCTGAGGAGGTGTAAAGCTGTAACTACCACACAGCAAATAAAACCAATGGTACACAATGCCACGTTGTCTGGCTCCGCACCTCTGCCAACAAGTGAGAATTGCTGCCCATGAGGTGGGCACGGGGTAGTTAGGAGCAGTCTGCGGTTTTCCCTGTGGGCAGTGACGCAGGGGTGCTTCTGGGCCTTTTTCCCCTGGAAGCACAAATGTCAGTCCCTTGGGTGCCATCTTCATGGCATCCGGTTCCTCCTGGATTCTGAATCTTTGAAAGGGTTGTAAATTGTCATATTGTAGAAATACAACTCTCTAGCATGTAGGAGTACACAACAATAATTGAACAGCAGGAAGAGCAAGAGGCTGGCTGAAGAGAAGTGTTGTTCCAGGTTCAGAATAAAAAGCAAAGTCTTAGTAGAAATTGTTTTGTTTTGTTTTTTAAACAGGTCTGGGGAGTAAGATACAATGGAAATGGTTCAAAGATTGTGTCTGTGGGAGACGATCAAGAAATTCACGTCTATGACTGTCCCATTTAATGTCACCATCCTCAGGCCTGACGCTGCAGAGAATGTATAAGTTGGCCGTGACATTCCTTCTTTTTAGGCATGTTTAAAAGAAACATCGCATATATTGTAGCAAAGACTTAAATTTTGTAGCTATGGTATAACAATTTTCCTGTTTTATTGGGAATACTGTTCATACTTTCACATAAAGCATTCTTATGCAGACACCTGTTTATTATGTTCACCCTGTTGCTGGAGAACAGTGAGAGGAACTGGCGTCATTAGGTGAAAGTGAATACCATCCTCAGAGATCATTTACTGAACTTCCACTTAGAAATGCAGGCCCCTCTTCCCGGGGGTGACTCATGCAGTGATGCCCGTTTCAGAGTGGACTTCTGAAGGAAACAGGTTATCTGACTGAATGGCAACATTCGGTAGTCCTGCCTATCCAGGGTCTTTCTGCTGTAATAAAAATGTCCCCCTACCCCACCACACCCTCCCGCTGGGTTGGCACATTAATGGAAGTTTAAGTAGCTAAGTTTAGGTAGTCTGATGCTTGTTGATATTTGATCATAGCCTCATATGGCCTGAGGGTCCTTCCAGGCTCCCATGATTCTCAAAGTAAGGCCTGCTCTTTGCCATGGCCCTCTGCTGGCTCTGCCTTGCTCACCCTTCCATAGCCATGTCCTCAGTGGTTCCTTTGCCTCCATGTGCCTTCCTCAGACCAACAGAGATCTATGCCCTCACTGTTGAGGGGCTGCTCAGATGCCACGCCTTGCAGAGGCCTCTTCCCTACCTTCTGCATTTGTCACCCCAGCTCTTCATAGCAGTCATAGCAGAGGTGAGTCACTTCCTCACCTCTGCATTCACCCACCCCAAGCTCCTTCTATCAACCAACCCAAGGCCAGCTGGCACTCAATATTGTTCAGGTGCTCAAGAAAGAAAGAGGCAAGCCAGTCATCTCATACCAGCTCAGTTTTAATTTTAAAGTGACATGCACAGGTGGAGTAAAATCTTAAGCAGCACCTTCCAGCTTCCACTTACATAGCAAGAAGGAGCGGAACACAATTTTGCTCCATCACCACCTACAGTTCTAGCAGTAATTTATTAGGAAGTTACAGCACAGAAACAACACCCTGGAGTTGTGGTCCACTGATAAACTGGTTTTCACATAGGCTTAGTTGGAAGAGGCGGTTTGTCTCTCCTGACTAATGGGCAAAGCGGGCATAAGTGAGCTCTTTCCATATGAACTTAAGAGCAAATTACACCCCATTAATCGGCCATGTTCTTTGGGAACTTGGTCTGTCCAACTGGTCTGCCTCGTCTGCTATGGGTCTGATCTGCCTTTTGACCCTCCTCGAGGAGGTCCCTGGTCTAAGTCAAACTCTCAGTGCCATATAATCAAATAAGGATGGATATGTCAGGTTAACCCATCAGCCTTGAAGGTAGCAGTTTTTCATCATCTGTGGAAAAAAGCAATAATGGCTAACGGTTAGGTAACCCTATTCAAAGTGCAGTTTTACCTGACAGAAATAAAGTAACAACTAAACCAGAAGCCTCCAAGGAGGCTGTCATTGATGGTGGCAGTCCATGACAACTAACCAGGCAGAGCTTGGCTAGCCCTGTTCTTACCAAATGTCACTTGAGCAGGAAGCCCTCTGTGATATGGCTGTGTGACAAGAGGCACAATCCTTTGGAAAGGAGCTGAACCTGGGAGAACAAGGGGGAAACACTGAGAAGGTCTGTGCCATTTGACCTTCAAGCCATCAGGGGTGACCAGTCAGAGAAACTGGCTGTGCCAGGGGACCACACAGTGCCAGCATTCTCCCTTGGCTTCTGCTACACTGAGGCAGCCAGGGACATGGAAGGGTTTTGTTTTCAAGTAAGCACTTTGGTGGGAGAACATTGTAAAGTTTGTCAACAGAAAATCATCAAAACCACAAAGAACACAGTATGGGGGTCACAGGCAAACGGTTTTACCTGCATATTTTAAACACTGGTCTGTCCTCATCACAGGGCTTGGAAAGTTCAGAAAACTTCCAAGAGAGATGATCAGACACACCCTATTCCGACCATTCGAGGGGCAGAACAGTAGGAACTAGGCTGGCCCCGCACTCAGTGTGAACCTGCACATGGAGCCAAGTCTGATCTGCACGTGTGCTTTTATTCTTGAAGAGTTTCATCTGGAATTGAGATTCCAAGATGTCGTATTAGCAGCCCTGAGATCATGCCCTCAGTGACTCTGCCCAGGAACAGGGGTCAGAAACCAAGACTAGAGATGGGCCAGGACAGCCACTTTGTGCCTCAGGCTTGTGGGGGCCGAGCACTGCTCTCTGGGCTGTGCTTTACTGTGGAACTGAACTATGTCAAAGCCACTAGAAGCAAACAGTCACTGGCATCTCCAAAGCATGTCCTGAAAGTGTCAACAAACAGATTCCATATGCAGACTAGAGGTGATTTACACTTAAAACATTTAAATATAAATCAAACTGTGACTTAAAATTACAACCAAAAGAGAAACAAAAGAAAACCCAAAGACACTCAGCAGTGGAGAATGCTGAACACATACACAGGAGGCCATTAAAGCGACGCCATTTTCATTGTGCCAACTTTACATTCATCATGTCTAGTCCAGCTGGGCAGCACTGCATGGTGTCCTGTCATGCTGTCTGGCACTGCACTCCGGCACGGGGCCCGTCATCATCTTCCTCATAGGCCTCCCTGTGCTGGCGCCAGTTCTGCTCACTGGGATTAAACTCCTTCAGCTCCACCTGATCCATGTCATCCGTGATCCTCACCTTCTGCCGAGGAGGGAGCAGAGCTTCCAGCTGAGGAAGCTTCTCTGAGGAAGCCAGTGTTTTTCGGGGAAGACTACCTGCAAAGGGTGAGTGCACAGAGAACGCTGGTTTCTTCACCTCCAAATTAAGGCATTTAGTAATATGTCCCATGAGAGAAAGCACAGTGCACTTACTAAAAACTGTATAATCAGAGTCCCCTTTTCCAGGGGGGCTTTGTAGATGGGCATCCCTTCATTACGCACACATTTCAGGTCTCCATGCTTTATCACCTCGCCTGCCATAGAGAAGGTTCAGTTAGGAAACAGGAAGCCAGACGGGTCAGGCAGAGCCAGGGGCAGGCCCTAATAGCCTTGGGGTGGCGGGCACAAGAAGGGGCCTTACCCCTTAAGATACTGTATGAGCAAGGGGTTGTTGGGGCTCTCTGGCCCACACTCAGTCGGCCTCCAGCACTTGGGTCAGAAGGAAACACAATGAAGCCTTCGTCGGAAGGTATAGAGGTAAAACAAGGGAACCAGAACTCAGAACACCCCAGCTGGTTCAATTGGGCTGACAACCTCCCAGCCTGCCTCTTGCCACAAGCATCAGACTTAGGGACAGCTTAGAGCAGGAAGGGGATTCCCAGGAGCCCCACCCCGCCTCTGCCCCATCCCCACAGGTGACAGCCAGCTTCCTGGGGAGGTGGCTTGGCCACTGGCAGTCCCCTTCCTGGCTACAAAGCACCTGCGGGAGGCCCAGTAGCTGGAATGGTCTCCTCTTGCCATCTCCACTGGCTACTCTGTGGAAGAGATCTCAAAAGGCACCAAAGCCCCAGCCCTGGATGCAGTCTTCCCCACCCAGGTCCAAAATGGTTAGTTCCCTCCATCCAGGCAAGGGAGCCGCACAGGACAGAAAGAGTTCCTGCTCTTTCACTGAGTCATAAAAATGGACAGAAGAGGGAAGACATGTTCAGAAAGCGTGGGGAAGGGGTGGTGATGATGTTTAACCCTAATGTAGTCAGCAGCCCCGTTGCATTCCACACAAGGGGACTATCCACAAAGTGAAACCTCTTTCAGAGGAAACATTTCAAGTATGTCATATGAGTTCTTTAAAATACGGTGTGTTGATGACTATCCCAGGGGCTGTTCACAGGCAGGACTATGACTCAGATGTGGCCCCCAGAGCCACTGACTATAGGATGGTGACCCCAAAGTTTGTGCTCTTGGTGGAGGTTTTGGACACAGTTCTGCCTCCCAGTTCCTATCAGGTGTCACTGCCTCCTGCTCTTGTGCCCAGCTCCCTACACTTTTGCTTCTGGCTTGCTGGGAGCTGGGAACCCCAAGACTAACTACAAAAGAAAGGAAGATGACCCAGCCAGCTCCTCCAGCAGGTAACACCCTGGGGGACACCCAAGTCACTTGTCATTAACAGTTCTCAGCAAGGCTACAGGCAGCTGAGGGGCTCTGGTGAGGAAGGCAGCTCTACGGAGGAAGAGGAAGGGGGAGAAGAGGAAAGGAAGGGACAGGAAATCGAGGGAAGAAGAGGACAAGAAACGATAAATGTAAAGAAAAAGCAAGAAAAATAACAAAAGGAATCCCCAGCAGGTTTTCTGACACCCTCCCTTCCTTCTCAGCAAGAGAATGGCTGCTTGGGTTTGCCACCCCCTTCCCTCTGGGGACCCTTCCTCATTCTTCTCTCTTTGGCTCCCAGGTTCCCCTGCTAGGGTCACAGGAGGTGGCAGGAGCACTGGGCTCCCATCCCACAGCACAGCCCAGCTCCAGGAACTTCTGCCAGGCTGACCTGACCTTACATCACCCACCCTTGACCAAGGACAGGCTTTTCCAAAGTCACACACTGATGCTGCCAGCCCCGGCTCTCTGAAGGGCTAGAATTGGCTGTGACTCAGAAGCCAGTGCCCGCACAACCAGTGGGCCTAGGGTCTCTGAACTGTGATCCTCAATCAACTTTATGACTCAAGTGAGGGGAGGGCTGTGGCATGGAGCCTAAAGAAAGGCATTTAATTTTTAAATATCACGCACTGCTTTCCACCAGTCCTTGGTTTAAGTGTGCGCGCACACACACAAAGCAAAGGAGAAAAATCACATTCAGATGTGGTAAATGTTAATAATAGGCAAATTATGTATGGATGGGCTGTGGCTTTCTTGATTTTACAACTTCTTGTAAGTTTTCTTTTGTTGTTGTTTTGAGACAGGATCTCATGATGTAGCCCAAGTCAGCCTTGAACTCCAGATCCTCCTGCCTTAGCCTCCTGAGTTGCTGGGATTACAGGTGTGCCCCACCACATCTGGCTGAAAGCTTGAACTTGTTTCCAAATAAAAAGATTTTCTAAAACACCACAAACTGATCAAGGCTTAGCAATATAATTCTATTTCACATTATCACCAGAAGAGGAACTAGAAGGAATCAAAGAGAAGAAAGTAACAGAGAGCAAGGCCAGAAAGAGGAGAACAGAAAGAGATGGAAATAATGAGATGGGCAGAGGCAGAAGAGGTCCCTGGCCAGGGAGGTGCAGTGGCTCTGGTGTTTGCTCGCCCCACTGAACTCCAGAGTCTTTATCACTACCTGCCACGGCTCGGGGCAGGCTTATCAACTGGTTTCCTCCCACGCAGCCCTCAACCTGCCTCTCTAGCTTCAGACAAAGCTATTCTCTCACCCCGTGGCCAGCGAGGGGCTTGAACAGCACTGCTTGTTCATGGGCCGAGCCCATGACACCTTGGTGACTGAGCCTCCTCCACACCTGTCCAGACCTTCTTGACTGTGCACGACTGACTTCACGTGTAATTCAGAAGCACCGATAAATCAAGGTCCCTTGCCTGGCCTCTGCCCTGCTCTCAGCAGGTGTTCTGGTGCCCACCCAGACCCTAACCTGCAGTGAACACCAACCCTCCTGGGAGCAGAGAGCCCTGGTGTCTACACAGCTGCCAAGAGACTGAGCCCAGGCCTCTGGAACCCCTTTGGGCCCAGAGCTCCCTCGGGCTGCTCCCTGTGGCTCCCAAGGGTGTGTACAGAAGGGTGTCCGACACTAGGCTCACGGTGTCTTTTTTTAAGACGGCTCTCACGTAGAACAGACAACACAGAAGCCAGAGGAACGGAATGTGAGGAGCAATCAGCATGCATCCCACTTGATGGAAAAGAGCCTGTATTCTATGATATAACAAATTTAAAAATTTTAAGTTTAACTGGCAGATTCCAGCTAGAATTTTAGACCTCTCACCCCAAGATTCCTCTTTGAGGCTCCTCCTCCCACTCTAACAATATAAAATAAATTCATAAAATTCTCTAGTCACTAGTAATGACTTTAGATAGAGAAAAAAAAATCAAGTCACAATAGCCAACATAAAGAAGACAGCTTTTTAGCTGGGCACCGGTGGCTCATGCCTGTAATCCCAGCTACTCAGGAGGCAGAGATCAGGACTGTAGTTCAAAGCCAGACCAGGTAAATGGTTCACAAGACCCTATCTTAAAAAAACCTTCACAAAAATCGGGTTGTGGTGGAGTGGCTCAAGCTGTAGGCCCTGAGTTCAAAGCCCAGTACTGCAAAAAGAAAGACAAAAAAAAAGTCTGCCTTAAGTGTGAAAGCAGGTGATCTTGCCATTACTCCTACACCAACATACAGAACAAGGACAAGGAGTACTTACCTGATTTGGATGTAATAACAAGGACTCGATCATCCAGTGTTTTTATCGTCTTCTTGAAGCCACAAAGAGCTTCAGAAAGCTGAATTTTCATTTTCATGATCAAGTCATGGCCTCGTCTCTGAAAGACACTATGATCCTTCTGATCAAGCACAATTACGACATCGCCAGGCTCCAGCTCGGGCTCCTGATCTCCTTCTCCGTGAAAGAGTATCTTTTGCCCATCTTTCATACCTATGGAACATCATCCCCTTCTGATTAGCCGCTTCTCATGGCATGCAGACTTGCTCAGAGCTTTTGAAGGAGGACACAGAGTCCCTGGGGGTCCTTCATTCATGGAAAATCCCAATCACATTCGGGCATGGGACAGAGGAGGGATGCCTGGGATTATCACTGGGAAATGTGTCACTTCCTCTGCGCCATGGGCCTTGGGCCAAATGTGCAGCAGGGAGAGATGGAATAAGGCTCTACGTTGGTTCACACCAGCCTCCCCAGCCTTGGGCCCTGTGATGCTACACTGAGGCCACACTGCAAGCATGAGCTGACTGCCCATGTCCTGGTGCCCACAGTGCATGGCTCTAGAGAGGAGAGGACAGCCAGCCAGTTCCCTTTCTAGTATGTCAGTGTCCACACAGGCACAGGGCAAAAGCTTTTGTTTAAGTGAGAAGTCCTGGAACAGCCCCTGTGTTGAGTGGAGTGTTGATTCTTTGACTTTTGGTCTCATCTCTGATCTTCAGTATATTTGCTGGATTAGAAAGTCTCAAGAACGATCAGAGGATGGTGGCAACCAGCTGGGACCGAAATCTGCCTTCAAACATGCCATAGGCAAAATGGATAGCACGGGAAGGAGCTGTGTTTGGGAGGTGATGCAGCAGAAGGGGAACGTGGGGAAAGAATCACACAGCTAACAGAACTTACACAAGCTCTGACAGCCAGTGAGCAAGAAAGCTGTTAGGAAGAACAGTCCGTTCTAAAGACTCCAGAGATAAGCTCTGAGAATGGCAGGAGAGGGCAACTGAGCAGAACTGAAGTCACCACTTTCAGAGAGTGAGAAAACTGTAAAGCAAGGCTGTCTGTGACCTCAAGGGAGCAAGAAAACTTTGGCAGGTGACACGATATGAAAATAAGGCCACGGAGGTCATGAAAGGGACCAGAAAGGGAATTTAGGTACACCGTTCTTTTTAAGTATGTCGTGATCCGGCCCAGGACACCTACCTGGTGGCCCAGGACTAGCACAGAGTGCCTGCCCACTGGTTTCGCGCAGCCGCAGTCTCACCTTTCTCCACGTGGACCTCGATGATCTTCTTGTCGCGGATGACCTTGGCTCCGCTGCAGCTTTCACAGCGGTCCTTGGGGTTGATGCGCTCGCCCTGGCCCTTGCACTCGATGCACACCGTCTGGATCTGCTGCACCATGCCCGGCCCGATCTGCTGGATGTGAACCTGCATGCCCCGCCCCTTGCACAAGGGGCACTTCTCCACCGACCCCTTCTTCCCGCCAATGCCTGCAGGGGTGAGAGGCGACAGGAGGAAGAGCTATGTTCTTCCCTTCCCGGGCCCCTCCATGGCAGAAGGGTAGTGACCCACGGCACTGGGCAGTGGGGCTGCACTTCTGTTTATAATCGTGAAAGGCAATGGGGAAGGGGCTGGAGGAGGAGTTCAGCTAAGAGGTAATAGCGCATGTTAACACCTCCTCTCTAACAATTGTTTCTGGCTGCATCAACCCAAGCTCAATACTTCAGTCCCATTAAATGTGTTTTCTTTCAGGGTGCAAAATCCCCACGCCTGCAGGTTGACTGATGAGGCTGGGGCTGCAGAGAACAGAGGATGCACGCTCTGGGAGTGGGGCGTCACATTCTCTGTGGACCAATGTGGCTCCAGGGTCAGACCAGACTTCTCTTGAAAACTCAGATTTTAAAAGCTTATGTCAAATACACTTATATGCAAGTCAGGGGTCATGAAACCATTCCAGACTGCCAGGTTTTGTAAATAAAGCTTTACTGGGACATGGGCACACCCATTCACTTAAGTATTGTGATGGCAGAGTAGTTACAACAGATCACCTGGCCCACAAAACTGAAAATGTCCGTATCTTGCCCTTTACAGAAAACCTCTGCCAGCCCCTAGGTTAGGTGACCTGTCCTGATTGAGATTTCTGAAGTGATGTCAACATGTTAAATAAATGTATAACCCAAATAAAACTTTCAGGCAAACAGACTGAGCCTTCAAGGCTACCTTTTTGCAAACTGCTTGACACTCAAATTTGAAAAGATAAGCCAACATGGTGGCCACCATGCCTATAAACTCAGCACTCTTAAGAGGCTGAGCCAGGAGGATTATGAGTTCAAGACCAGCCTGGGTTACACAGTAAGACACTGTCAAAAAAAAAAAAAGATAAATTGTTTTCCTCTGACCTAGGAAACCACATCAGAACTATGAAATTCATTCAAAATTAATTAACATTTACCTTCACATTTCTCACAAATTACATTTTTCTGGAGGGCTAATTTCTTGGTGACTCCATTATATAAGTCTTCAAGAGTTACAGACAATTGATGTACAACATTCTTGCCTTACCAAAGGAGAGAAAAAAAAAACCAGTGAGTAATATGTATTAAATAAACTGCTCCTGAAACTTCACCCATGTAACTCTCAGATGTCCAGAGACTCCTGCCCAAAGCTGAGCCTGGCCGTCCACTCCTCTCTGCAGGAAGCAATACTTCCAATCCTGCCAACCCGTCCTGCTGGCCCTCTACCAAAACCAAGAACTAACACCTGTCTCACTCTGAGGTAAGTACCCAGTCATTTATGGAGGTCAAGAAAAAGATGGTTGCCTTTATTCCTGAGACTAATCTGAGGCTGGTGAGATCACTAGCTGAGAAAAGGAAGGCAGTTAACCAATGGAACTGGTTAACTATGGGCTCCTCAGGAAAAAAGCCATTTCCTTACAGAGGAATGTGCGGCCACCACACTCTCTGGACCTTCCAGAAGCTCTTCCTTGAGCACCAAGCCTTTACTCTCCAAGCCTTTCCATGATTTGTGGCCAAATGGGGATTTTTCCCTCTGCTGAAATCTAGTCTCTGCAGTCAGGACGGTGTGCATTTAGTTCCCAGAGTGGGTGACTGTCTGATCCAGTGCTCTGCCTGCTTGTGAGGACCTTCCCTGTTGTCCAGAGTTCTTGCAATCACTGGGACCAGGTGTCCTGGTTTACTAGCTGTAAGCTTTTGGAGATGACTTAATTAAGGACATGACGTTTTTCATCTCAAGACAGTGAGAGGGCTAGGCAAGTGAATACCCAAGGTTTTAATCACGTCCACACCATCAATTAAATGAGCAGGTGACAAACCTAGAGGACAAGGGGGATTTCTCCCTCATAAACACTTTGTGATTGTTCAGCACACTGTCTTTAGAGAATTGACACTCAGTCTTTTTAAAGCTCAAAGTCAATTATAACATGAGAACAAATACATTTATCCAGGGGCCTCTTCACTAGTTTTCTAAATCCAATGCACGAGCTTGTTTCTTCTGGTCTTACCCAGAACTAATAAGTTTGGTTATCACTCTGGTTTTAAGATCCAAAGCAGACTGTCAGCATTGAACTAGACAAGGCTTAAGAGACTACAGATGGCAGGTGACAGCCCACAGGCTACAAAAGCAAGCCCTAGAACTCAAACGCAGTGGCCTAGGCCCTTCCAGGAAAATGTGCTCATTCTCCTCCTGGTGATGGTAAAGCTGCTAATCACAGGCCTGATGAACAGGCAGGTTGTTTCTTTTATAAAAATTGAAAGAAGAGGCGAATTCTATTCCCTGGAAAATCCTCTGCACTTGTTGGGAATGAGGCCATGGGTGGAGTCCCAACCTGTGGGTGGAGACCCACCCAGAATATGAGAGAGTTGGCTGGGGACCAAGAGCCAGGGAGGAAGGGCAGGTGGGAAGGGAGAGAGGCACTTGTGGCAGAGGCTTCGCTTCTGTCCCTCAGGACACTTGGTACCTGAGTCCTCAACAGGGCAAAAGAGGACAAGATAAACTGGACCTTCCTCCTCTGTATCCACGACCCCATTCATACCTTCATATGGGGTGTTTGAAGGGTGTCAGACAGTTCCTAAACATGCTAAGAGAATCCAGCAGCCTGGGTACCAGATAGTGATCAACTATTTAAATAGGCCCCAAAGCCGGGCTCCGGTGGCTCACACCTGTAATCCTAGCTACTCAGGAGGCACAGATCGGGAGGATCGTGGTTCGAAGCCAGTCCTAGGAAAATAGTTCACAAGACCCTATCTCGAAAAAACTTATCACAAAAAAGGGCTGGCGGAGTGGCTCAGTGGTACAGAGCCTGCCTAGCAAGTGTGAGGCCCTGAGTTCAAGCCCCAGCACAATTGAAAAAAAAATAAATAAATGGCCCCAAACAGGACAGCCACACCCTTTTAAAGCAAGGCTCACCCTTGACTCCAGCAAGGAGTAATTGCTTACATTTCTTTCAGAGCATTTACCTCTTCTCTCTCTAGCCATCCGTCCTCCACCACCAAAGAACATGTCGAAGATGTCCATGGGGGAGGAGAAGCTGGGGCTACCCGAGCCTCCTTCTTTAATCGCCTGTTCTCCACCCTGGTCATAAATGTCTCTTTTCTTTGGATCTGAAAGCACTTCATATGCCTGGGATATGAGTTTAAACTTTAAAAAGAAAAGGAAAAAAAAAAAGAGAGAGAGATTTAAAAAGAGAGGTGTAGCAAGGAGTTTGAGCCATTTTATTAAGCAAGCCAAATTTAAGCCAACCCAGCCCCGAGAAAGCTGCCTGTCTGTGAACCTGACTTGACTTGCTGCCTTTGTAAAGTGGGACACACAGGACACACGTCAGGAAGGGGCTGGGGGTGGGGTGTGGTGGGGGGCACAGCGAGAATAGGGACAGAAAGAAAGCAGCAGCCTCCCACCCTGGCTGCACCAGCCATGAGTCCAGTTGGGAGACTGCAGGCGTGGCCAGGGCTTTATCTGGAACGGCCACAGCCCAGGATTCCTGGTTCCACTGTGACTTCCACCTCACAGGAATCACTTTACTAATTTACAAGCGTGAAGTTCAACTTGCAACAGGCGTGTGCAAGCACCTGGCTAGATACCGCAAATGCTGCCTGCCCTTCCCACCGTCTCCCCCAACCTCACAATGCCAATGTCACCTGTCAACAAGCTCTGCTGGTGCTACCTCAACATTTGTATCTCCAGTAAATCCAGGCATTCCTACCAAAAACTTGTCACTGGGATTCAATTGTAAGATAAGAATCAGAAAGCCAAAATTGGGAGGGCATACCTCAGATCCAAAAGATGGGAAAACCAGGGGCAGGTGGAATGCCTGCCTAACAAGCATGAGGCCCTGAGTTCAAACCCCAGTGCTGCCAAAAAAAAAAAGACAAAAGAAAACTAAATGCAGGGGGTGATCTGGATTGGGTCCTACCCCCCAGGGAAAGCAAGGTCACAAAGGATGTTATCAGAACAAGTGGAAAATGTGATTTTTTTTTTCCCCCATGTCAAAACTTTTTTCCCCCCAATACTAGGGGTTTGAACTCAGGGCCTTGCAAATGCTGGGCAGGAACTTTATCACTTGAGCCACACACCAGCCCCTTTTTTGCTTTGGTTAATTTTTTTAAAAATTTTTTTAAATATGTCTTGTGCTTTTGGCCTGGGCCAGCCTCAGTCTGCAATCCTCCTACCTATGCCTCCTGTGTAGCTGGGATTATAGGCATGAGCCACCACACCAGCCTTGTTTTGTTGAGATGGGATCTAGCTATCAGGCCATCCTCTCAATTTCCACCTCCTACGCATCTGGGATTACAGACATGTGCAACCCTCCCACGTATCTGGGATTACAGACGTGCAACCCTCCAGTGGTAAACTTCTTGCATTTGGTAACTGTACTATGTTTAATGGTAAGGATCTCCTTGTTCCTAGGAAATCCATGTTTAGTGCTGAGCACTTATGCTATGTGCAAATTACTCTCAAAAACTTTGGCAGTAACTTAGAGATGGATAAAGCAAGTATGCAACGTATTCACAATTGGTGAAGGCAGGTGGAGGACGCGCTTGTGTTCCTTGCACATGGACACCTCTCAAATCAACCTGGAACACTAAAACATGCAAATTCCATCCTTCTCTCACCGCCACCACCCACACTGGCCGAGGCCACCCTCTTGTGCCCAGGCCACTGCAAAAACCTTCTTAGCCTGTTCCTCATCTGAGCCTATGACCTGTCACTGCTTGGCCCAAGCCTTCCCGAGGCCAGCCAGGCCTGTCACCCAGAAGCCCCAGCCACCCTATGCCCTTCTCCTCCTGCCCCCAATTCTGCTCCAGCGTTGCCAACCTCCTCATTCCTCCTCAGCACTGCAGCACATGCTCTGGTGGCCCCTCAGGTGAGCACAGCACCCCCCCCACCTCTCTCAAGCCTTTGCTCAAAGCCCTCCCCTTTCACAGAGGCCTCCCCAATGCCCCAACCTTCACACTGCAAGCTCTTCCCATGGCCTTGCCCTCTACTGTGCCTGTAGTCTAGCACTGTGCTGTACCCACTGTGATACAGAAGTCTTGCCATCTTGGCCCACCGGGCATGCCTGAGCCCACACCTGTGCCTGCCATGCAGACAGTGCTTGGTAAATACATGCTCAATTCTGGGAATTTAGAAATGAATAAATGGCATTGGGTCTTGGCCCTGCAGAGGCTAGACTTTGTCAGAAAAACAACTGTATATCTAACCATCCTTCAATGCAGTGGCCCCAGAGAGCACATGGGAAAAAAAAAAAGTGCCACAAGACACAAACATGGAAATTAACAGAGATGCTAGGACATCCCTTGTTCTACAGATCTCTGATCAATCCCTAATAAAAAACTAGTAAATACTAGCTAATAATAATAATCACTATCAAAACCCCTGACAATTTAAAAAATTAAGTCTTGCTGAATGTGGTGGGTGACACACACTTATAATCCCATGTAGGAGGGAGGCAGACAGAGGAGGATTGAGGTTTGAGATCGGTTAGGGCAAAAGTCCCCAGGTGTGATGGTATAAACCTGTAATCCCAGCTGGGAACGAGGTGAAGGTAGGAGGATCACAGCCTGAGCCCAGCCCTGGGTGAAAAACAAGACCTTATCTGAAAAATAAACTAAGGCAAAAAGGGCTGGAGGTGTGGCTTGCATGGCAAGTGTGAGGCCCTGAGATCAAACCCCAGTACCACCACCAAAAAAAAAACCAAAACTGGTGCCTAAGGATTAGGTGCCTGGCTTGGAAGATCGGAGGGCAGCTAGACCAGGCTGGGCCTATCTAAAGAGCTCAGCCCTTAGCATATCTAGGTAAATATACTCATCAAATACCCCAGATACTCACTGGACACTTAGCCTAAATGAATGAATCTAAGAACGGGAAAGGAACACCCTGTTGCTTGGGGCATCTAATCAGAGGCCAGATCCCCCAGAGGATGGGCAATCTGACTGCCAGTAGTGGAACCCCCCATCTCTGGGATCCAGCACTCCAGGTTCTAATTCAGCTCCTGCCTGGATCCTCTTTCTCCCAGTTTGACCAGTTCACCTTTTAGACTTTGATCTTTTGCCACAGAACCTTAAAAGTAGGACAATATAGCCAGGAAAAAAATTTCTTTGAAGATTACACAGCAACTTGGAAAAATACTTATGATAAAATATTCAGTGAGAGAGAGAGAAGTCCATGTTCAGAGGATCACCTTAGGAAAAGCCCCTGTACAGAGGTGGAGTGATGTGTTCTTGGTGGGTTTTCCTCTGAATTCTGAATTCCTCTGATTTTCTGCTCTGTTACAACGTGTTTGGATTCCTACCTTGCAAATCTACTATTCAAGCAAAAAGCTGCAATGAACTTGACCGAAAGACCAAACTCATCTCAACAGGGTAACTGCCCTATCACTGTGGGTAAAAAGGAACTATTTTTCTGACCTGCCACCTGGCAACCTTGTCCTCTGAAACACAGCTGCAGCTGAGACAAACACAGACTCACACAGAGCACAGCGTCTGACAACAAACCCAGGCTGCTCAATGCTTAGCAACACAGGACAACAGGGCAAAAAACAAAGCCTGACACCCGACTGTTGGCCTTCTCAGTTGTCCCAGAGCCCTAATCCATTCTTTAAGAGACATTAATAATACAGTGACAAACTTAGGTGAAAAAAATAAGATAACACATAACAGATAAAGTGAACCAGAATGCAGACTCACACCAAAAAGAAAAGACCTGCACAGGGCACCCAGCACACAGTAGGCCCAGCACAGGCGAGATCTGGTGAATAAATGGAGAAAGCCATCTCAGGGAATGTCACAGCAGTTTCTTTCAGTTGGGCCCCATCTTCTCCCCTTTTGATTGCTAATCCAAATTTTCTCCAATTCCCCTTCTGTCTAATCTCTGCCCTTGGAGAGCTCTCTCCTTCCTCACTGAGTTTCTTACAAGTGTATTTCTTGTGGCATTGCTTTCATTTGCCCAGTCAACAGCTAGCATGAACAGGATGACCAGCATAGGATGGGGACAGGGCCAGCAGACCAGTTTGTGGTCAGAAGGAACCTCCAGGAAGATGTCATAGTGGATAACTAAATGAAAGTGTCTTGCTCCCTCCGTGGAAGGGAGGGAGAGTAAAGTATTCCAGGCAGAGGGTTCAGCAGAGCCCCCTCCAATACTGAGAAGGGACCTGCTAAGAGCCTCATTTATAGAACACTAATTCAGGGCCTGACGACTAACAAATATTAATTTAAAACAAAGGATAAACGACCTGCCCAGACAGACAGTTACACGGTGAAAGCTACACACACGAAAAGGGCGTGTCTGCAAGTAAAAACAAGCTTCAGGATGCCAAAAACACACTGATCTCAAACGATCTGCACATGGCCATGAACGCACTCCCCGCTGAGTGCTAGGGGGCTTGGACCTGAGACTAGGGTTTTCCCATACCGTGCTACCAGCCAGCCACCCTGCTGAAGCATGAAATTAGAGCAGCAACAGACTACAGTGAATTGGGGAGCCTGTCTATGAATCACCCACACCATGTGGAAAGCCAGTGACTTCCAAAGCTACAGTAAGCCACCTAAATATAGATGAGCGAGAACGCAAATAGGTAGCAGACCTACAGGGAAGCATTTTAAAGCTTGTGACAGCAACATTTGGCACATGTGGCTAAATACAAGTATTTTATCACTGCTGCCACCCAGCCAACCCTTCCTTAAGAAGCTTGCTCCAGCTCAGAATTAGTAAGGCAGCCAGATATTCTGATCTGGGTGTCACTGCCACAAGTGGCCTCTGAAGTGGCCCAGATGTCATCGTTATCACTTACTCGGGGCCCCACCTGTCCCAGACCGGACAGCCTAAGTTTTATAAGAAAGTGACAGCAAGTGAAGGAAAACGGGAAGGCCAACAGCTTTTCTTGCCATGTGTGATTCTCCAAGTTACCTAGTCAGGTGGGTCATGTCCTCCTCGGGGACAAAAAGCAGAAGTGTCTGTTTCTGAAAACAGGATGGAACGGTTTAATTTAGATCTCTAACGTGCAGAGCCTTTTCAGCCTACTTCTTATCACCTGTGTGTCGTCTGTCACAGGAGACCCGGAATCCACATTACACGTGGATGGTCAGGTTACAGCCTTCCCCGGCCCTGTTCCATGCAGACAAGGCACAACTGGTACCAGGCTCGCAGACCAAATCCACTCCGTCATTCTCAAACAGGACACCGAGAAGGTACAACTCAGGTGACAGAAACGCAACAACAGGGAAGGAAAGCAAAATGACTCAATGCTAGTGATGCCTGGCGGTACGGAGCTTGCGGTCATGCGCGCCTCAGTTTCCCACTTGGCTGGCTGCCTCTCTCACGGAAATGCCCACAAGCCCTGGAGCTGGGGTGCGGCCCGGGGAGGCTGGGGCCCCACGACAAACACTTGTGGAGTGGCCCAGGGGCTGCTGCTTGGGCTGCGCTGGACACTCGGGTGGGATCCAAGTCCCCCTGGGCGCGCACAGGCCTCTTCTTCCACCCCCGGCCTGTGCGCGCTGCGCCTGGCCACGGCCTCTGCCCGCCGCCCGCGTCCTGCCGCAGCCCCGCACCTTCTCGCCCTCATCCGGGTTCTTGTCCGGGTGGTACTTGAGCGCCAGCTTGCGATAGGCCTTCTTGATCTCCTCCGGCGAGGCGCTGGGCTTCACCCCCAGGATGTCATAGTACTGGGTCTCCTTCACCATCCTGTCTCTGCGGGGAGGGGCGGGCGAGCCCGGTCAGCGCGTCCCGGACGACCCCGGGGCCTTTGGCCCGCGCCCCCCCGCCGGTGGCCTGGCCTTGCGCGTCACGGTCACGGTCACGGCCGCCGCCCGCCCGGGGCTCCTTCCCCCGCGCGCGCGCGCGCCCACGCCGGGCCGACGTCCCCGCCCGGCACCGCCGCACTCGAGCCGCCGGCTCCTCCGCGGCGGGTTTTATTCGGCGCCGGCGGAAGGTTCCGCAAAGAGACGGTGACGCCACAAAAGCCCAGAACCTTCGCGGAGGTTCCGGCGGCGCCCGGGGCTCCCTGGCGGGGGCGGGGGAGGGGGAGGGGCGGCCGTGACCGCCCGGTCCCCGCCGCCTGGCGCGCGCTCACCCGCCCTCCTCCGGCGCCTGCTCCTCCGGCTGCTCGTCCGACTCCCCGGAACTCCAGTTCTGGCTGCCGCCCCGGGCCATGGTGGGGGCCTTGGCAGCCGGCTTCGGGGTGCAGGGCGCCCTCCGACGACCGTCCCGCCGCCCCGAGCCCGCCCCCTTGCCCTTGCGTGGCTCCGGGATCCGATGGCCCGCAGGGCCGCGTCGGCGGGAACCCTGCGCCGAGGGGTTGGGCTGGGATGGCTGAGGCCTGCGGTCCCCACCCGCCCTCTCCCTCAGGGTGTGACCGACCTCTGTTCGGTCACTGGCACTGGGCACCCTGAGGCCGGCCTCGGATTGTTGCATTTTTGAGGGGCTTGGAGTGGGCAGGGGCCCCCCGCCGTGGTGGCGCCCCGTTTCCCGAGAACTGGTATTTGCTGCTTCCCCTCGTGGCATCTTCAAGGCTGGGCTGAACCTCAGTCCTTCCAGATGCGTTCAGTGGTCCTAAGGTGGCTCCCCCCGCTCCCCGGGTGTGGACAGTGGCCTCCCGCTGTCCACAACTGGGAAGGCTGTAAGTACCCCACGGGTGGGCAGTGACGCCCCCCAGCTCTCCCAAGGGTGGGCAGTGACCCCTCTTCTCCCAGAGGTGGGACGCCGCCCCTCTGCGCATCAGGTGGGTGAAGCACCAAGGCAGGACCAGACTAGTGAGCCACTGTTGTGCACACACCTGGGTTTTGTGGCCCAACTCCCACAGCCCGGTGGCCCGGACGTGGCCGGAAAGAGCAGCAACAAGTCTTTGACTTTCCTAGGTGATTCTCAGCTCCAAGATCAAGACTTACTGCGAAAACGTGGGTGTGGCGAGGCGGCCAGCGCTATCAGAAAACTGCAGGCCCCTCTGGCCTTGCCACCTTGGCTTCTGCCCTGACACTAAGGAAAGAGCACTGGTTCCCCTGGCCTTGTGTTGGCTCCTATAGTTAAAACAGGCACCATCCCTTCTCCCACGTGTTCAGTGGGGGATACAAATGACTTAATATCCGAGAGAAATTAAGCTACTTGTTTCTGTTCTTGGCTACATGGTGGTTGTTTTTTTCCCCTCTGATTCATGCCCCTGCAGAACACGGCAGAGACTCAGAGCTGGAGGTCAGGAATTTTGGATCCCATATCCCATGTCTATGCAAACCTATGCAAACCTCAGCCTCTGCTCTTGTTTCGCTGCCAGCAGGATGTGATCAATCCAAATGCCTGCCTTTCTCACCGGGCTTCCATTAAGGATCAAATGTGAAAGCAGCTGGAAGGGCTTGGGAATGGAACTTTCACCTGGAAACTTAAAAAAGAAAAAAAAAAAAAATCCCTGTGGCCTGGCTGCACCCAGTTACTGCAGCTTCCCCACTGGGATGCAGGAATCAGTATTTTTTTTTTTTTCTTTTTAACTCTCCCAAGTTCCAGTATGCAACCAGAGTTGTCAGATTCAGTACTGTGGACCACTGATTTGGGTAAGGTGGGCGTGTGGGCATAGGGCTTAATGGTGATCAGAGGCTAGAGGCAGAGAACGGGACTGAGAACGCTATAGCAGTGAGGCCAAGGTTCGAATCCCAGCACTACTTTTTGTTTTGTTTTGATACAGGGTCTTACTATGTAGCTGAGGCTGGCCTTGAATTTGTGAGCCTTCTTCCTCAGCCTCCCCAGTGCTGGGTTTACAGGTGTGCACTAACACACGTGGCTACCAGACACTATGCTTTCTGACAGTATAACCTTGGGCAGGTGGCTTAACCTTTCTGACCCTCACTTTTCTCAAGCCAAATGATATTAATAGCACCTACCTAACCATGTGATGTCCTTTGTGCAAAGTCTCAACACATGATGGGCTTTTTTATTTATCTACTACAGTGCTGGGAACTTTTTATATTTGTTTTTTTATTTTTGCAGTAATGGGTCTTGAACTCAGGACCTGGTGCTTGGTAGGCAGGTGCTTTACCACTTAAGCCACTCTGCCAGCCCTTTTTTGTGTTGGGTATTTTCAAAACAGGGTCTTAGGAACTATTTACGTGAGCTGGCCTCAAACTTTGATCGTCCTGATTTCTGCCTCCTGAGTAGCTAGGATTCTAAGCATGAGCCACCAGCACCCAGCTGGAATTTTTAATTTTTTTGCTTTTGTCTAAGCTAAAAAATTGATGACAATTCTGTCCTTGATCAAGCTCTAGCCAGGTTCCTCTGTGCCTTCTTCTCCCTCTCCCTCTCCTCCTCCTCCTCCTCCTCTTCCTCCTCCTTCTTCTCCTTCTCCTTCTCCCTTCTTTCTTCTTCACAGTACTGAGGTTTGAACTCAGAGCCTTCACCTTGAGCCACTCCGCCAGCCTTTTTTTTGTGAAGTGTTTTTTGAGATAGGGTCTCATGAAATATTTGCCCGGGCTGGCTTCGTACCACTATCCTCCTTGATCCCTGCCTCCTGAGTAGCTGGGATTACAGGTGTGAGCCACTGGCGCGAACCATTGGCACCTGGCAGAGCCCTCTTCTTGGACCAGGCCTCAACCCAGATGTGTAGAGACGCTAACATGAGTTACATGTTAACCCTGAGGTGTCGTTCCCTGCCCCCCCCACACACACACCAGCACCAAGAAAAGGCAAAGCTATCAAAGAATTTGCTGTTTGTTTCTGGCAATAGCTGAGGACAGGGCTGCTGGCTCCCAGGATCTGTGTGAGGGTGGAACCCTGCCTTTGACTCCTGCCAGTTTGTGCGCACAGCTGACCTAATCACAGTTACACTGACCAACCCTTTGTAAATTTTCACTTCCCTGACTCCTGCTTGTCCCTCTCCCTGCTCCTCCTCCCTATAAAAGGCCCAGTTGCTTTTGTGCAAACAAGCCCAACTCTTCCCTGTTTTGGTAGTCACTCCTGGTTAAAACCTGCCCTTATCATTTCTGCTACTGTCCAGCTTTGTTTACCTTTGACAAATGCTTTTTGATGATCTAGAGTTTTGTCATGGGAGGAGTTGAGGCTTTATGCAGACATTTCTTTATCAGTGATATGCTTATTTTCAGTTACCTTTTTTAAAAACTGTCATCTTTATTGCAAGTAACATTGGTTTTCCAGTTACAGTAAACATGGTAAAATTTCTTTTCCTATATAGATTTTTTTAGAGATAAGTAACTGGTTATGGTAGTGCATGCCTGTAATCTCAGCAGAAGCAGAAGAATCATGAGTTCCAGGCCAGTCCTCGGCTCCATAGCAAGACCCTGTTTCAAAAAAATAGGGCTGGCAGAGTGACTCAAGCGGTAAGAGCACCTGCCTAGCAAGCATGAGGCCCTGAGTTCAAACCCCAGTGCCGCCAAAAAAGCAAAGCAAAAAAAACCAACAACAACAAGAAAAGATAAGCGTATGACAATACTGGTGGCACTGGAATGATGGAAATTTGCGCAATGCCATTCTAATACCACCATTTGCTTTGCAGATGGAGAGACTCTTAGATGAAGAGGTTAAGACTAAACGCATAGATGTACCTTGTCCCCAACCCCCCCAGTGACCCAGGTAGGAGAGCTAAAGCCAGCATGGAAGTAGCTTTTGCCCAGGGAATCCTGGCCTGGATCTTCACGGAGTCCTGGCAAGGGAAGAACCACAGCTGATGGGTTGGGAGTCAGGAAGGACTAGATGGTAAGGGGCATGTGCTAGACACCAGCATTTGAACGCACTTTGAGCAGAGGCGGGAGGGAGGGGACCATGCTGAAGGGATTAGAGAACACAGTGCTCAGGTAGCAGAAGGCTCTGCACTGGAAGGGAAGTGAGGACAGGCACAGGGAGCCCTGAACGTTATGGAGAGGGAGTTTGCTTCCCCTCTGAGGGACCCTGGGAGCTATGGAAGGTCATAGAGCAGGAGCTACATTCTAGGAGGAGGAACCAGCAGCAGCCACCAGGGACTGGGAGTGTCCCTCTGGAGTGTGTGAGCTGGATGTGCAGGTTTGAGAGGCTGGCCCAGAGAGAGGACCTAGGAGGAGGAAGAAGGCACCAGGAGAAGCCTTGGGGAGCACCTGCCTGTAGGGAATGAAAGGAGGAGAAGCATCAAAGAGGCAGAAGGGATTCATGTGCGTGGGGAGGAGCCAAAAGGTCCTCTGACCCACTGGAGAGCTCAGAACATCAAGAGGGAGCAGAGAGGACCGAGATTGGTGGCCGAGAAGCCAGGGATGGTGGGGCTTGTACTTTGAAGAGAGGACACAGGGCTTCTCCAATGAAAGGACATTCATTTTTTGGCCTCCAAAATAGCAGTTGTCATCCAGAATATCACAAGGGACTTGTGCTTGGGCAAATGTCTTCTTGCTTGCTCTCTGAGCCTCCATGCCCTGCTCTGTAAAATTGGTCTAAGAGTCGGGCACTAGTGGCTCACACCTGTAATCCTAGGTACTCAGGAGTCAAAGATCAGGAGGATCAAGGTTCAAAGCCAGCCTGGGGAAATAGTTCGAGAAACCCTATCTCAAAAATAAACATCACAGAAAAAAAGGGCTGGTGGAGTGGCTCAAAGCGGTGTAGGCCTTGAATTCAAACCTCAGTACCAAAAACATTAAAAATGGGGTAATAATACCTATTTCACAGGACAGCTGTAAAAGCAAATAGAAGCAACACACAAAAGGATTGCCACGTGCAGAGAGCAAGTTCTCACCAGCGGGGTTTACTGAGTCCCCACAACACGGTTTGCTGTGCGCTGGGCACCAACAGCAGAGTGTGAGATTAAGGCCACACCTGCCCTGGAGATGCTCACAGGTGCACAGTGCCTGAACACCTGGATGACCCCTGGCGTGGGCCGATTGTGTCATGCTCCAAACTCCAGGCGTGTCTCAGATCTCACATGGACACGGTTACACATTGTTCCCTGGCTTTGTGGTGGCTCTGTGGGGGCAGGGCCTAGTTGGTCTCTGAGAGGCTGCCACCTCGTTGCGAGTTGGCTTTCACTCAAAGCTGCTCCCATCAGAGCTGGGAGCCTCTGACTGGGGAGAAAGGACTAAGGACATCAGGGAGCCACCTTCCTGCTCCCACATATGTGAACTTTACAGGTAAAATCCTGAGGTCATTTCAGCAGAGCACACATCCCAAGAAGTCCCGGAGTCCAGGCAGAAGACATCCTCCTTTCAGCGTGTTTGTGAAGCCCTGTGTGCCCTGTGCCCTGTTCTCAC